GAGAGAAGTATGATTGATTTGTTCCTGGTGGATGACCGACTGCGAAAACAGGTGATGGATACACGAGTGTTCAGGGGTGCTGACCTAGGAACGGATCATTATCTAGTAATTACTAGATTTCGGGGTTTGTTCGCGGGTTGGCGCTACCGGACGGCAGTAACAGAACCACAGTCGGTCTGTGGCATCCGAAGATGGAAGCTTCAGGAAGCGGATACTAGGGACAAATATCACACGAGGGTAGCTGAAAAGCTTGACACCATCGATGGCAGGAAAGAATGTGTGGAAAGAACATGGCAGAACCTTAGGGATGGAATGGTAAGTGCAGCGGAAGAAGTATGTGGTACGACAAAAAAGAGGTAGTAGTAAAAGAAGAGATGCATGGTGGAATGATGAAGTGAGAGAAACTGTAAAAAAAGAAGAAAAAAGCATGGTTAGACTACTTGGCCTCTAGTAACGATGAGCATATGAGAGAGAAGATGAAAGAAAGATATAAGCTGCAAAAAGTTCATGCAAAAAAATTTGATTGAGGAAGTACGTGAAAGGTGTAGAATAGAAGCGGACGAGAGGTTGTCGCACAACTTTAGGGAAAACTCCAAACTCTTCTGGAAAGAGCTTGGAAGGTCCCGGAGTGGTGCGACAGCCTTAAGAATGAACAACGTGCTTTCGAGAACCAATGACGTCCTCTCAGAAAAATCGGACGTCATGCAGCGATGGAGTGAACTTTATAGAGAAATGTATGCGTGTATGATCTTAGTGAAGGATCCGGGGGTGACGCCGTGACTGGCACGCCAGACACGGACCTCGATGACACTGAGGTCATCAGCATGAAAGAGATTGAACGTGCGATTCGAAGTTTGAAATGTGGTAAGGCTGCGGGACTAGACAGAGTTACTGCTGAAATGGTCAAGTACGGTGGGCCTCGCGTCTGGGACAGCTTCCATCTGCTGTGCATTTTGTGCTGGCGGACGGGAGATGTCCCGGATGATTGGCGATCCGCGGTCATTGTGCCTTTATATAAAGGTAAAGGTTCACATTTTGACTGCGGGTGCTATCGGGCGATCAGCTTGACCAGTTTAGCAAGTAAAGTTTACTCGAAGGTTTTGACACGTAGGATGCAAGAGAAATCGGAAAGATTCTTATGGGAGGCACAATGCGGATTTAGACCTGGAAGAGAATGCACGGATCAAATGTTTTCTTTCCGCATGATCACGTAGAAGCTTCTGAGTGTTAACCAGAGGATTTTCTGTGCTTTTGTGGATCTGGAGAAAGCATTTGATAAGGTACTGTTGCCGGGATACGGTGTGGATGGTCGATTGTTAAGGGCTGTGCAGTCACTTTACTATGACTGTAAAGCCTGTGTGCGGGTAGGGCATGACCTGTCACCCATGTTTAGCGTCCAAGCGGGTGTAAAACAGGGTTGTGTCATGTCTTCCTGGCTGTTCATACTGTATCTCGACAGCTGTTTACAGAAGCTGAAAAATAGCTGTTTGGGTGTGAAATTGGGTGACATAAAAGTTAATTGTCTGCTGTATGCTGATGATGGAGTGCTTATTGCACCATCAGAAGTAGAACTGTAGGCATTAGTCACGTGTATGAAAGAGGAATTTGAAATTAAAGGTCCCCGTTTGAATGCTAATAAAACTAAGGTTCTGGTATTTGAAAAGGACGAAGAGAGAACGAAATGTGAAATATGGGTAAATCAGGAATATCTAGAACAGGTAAATGAAATTGTATACTTGGGGAGTGCTTTCAGCCGGGATGGAAGATGTGATTTAGATGTGGATAGGCGTGTCGCTGCCGGAAACAAAGTCAATGGTGCCCTGAATGCATTAGTAAAAAGGCAAGGCGTGGTGAAGAGTGCACGCCTTGCAATACATAACGCAGTGTTGGTACCGACTTTGTTATATGGCAGCGAAACCTGGGTATGCCAGAAGAAGCATAAAAGCAAGTTGAATGCAGTGGAGATGCGATCTCTTCGTAAAATGTGTGGCGTTACCATAGCCGACCGAAAGCGAAACGAAGAGATTCGCAATATGGCAGGATTGAAAGATGACCTTATCACAAAAATTGATAGGGGCGTACTCCAATGGTTTGGGCACGTTGAACGAATGAGTGAAGACCGAATGGTGAAGAAAATATATAGAGCGAAAGTAAATATTAAAAGGTGTCGAGGTAGACCGAGACTAACTTTCGAAGACCATGTGAGCAAATTGCTCGAAGAGGGGAGGGTCAAGAGTACTCGGATACCTAGACGTGCATGTATGAAGAAGTTAATGAACCTGAAAGAAGCGAAAGATGTATGTATGGATCGTGACACTTGGCGATCTGTTCTCTCTGGCTACCCCCGTTATGGATTGTGCGTGAATATAAGTAAGTAAGTAATTTGTAGATAAAGATAAAGATATTTTATTTTGCAAATATGGGAATAGTAAACATGGTAATATAGGTATTTATCAATATTATGTATTTTGGATTAAGTTCCATCATCCCAATTTTAGTATCAAATGACTCGAACTAAGTTTAGATTTGATCCTCACGTTTGTGACCTGTTTAGAACCCATAGCCGTAAATGTATTACTAGATTGCTATAATACATACACAAAATTGGATATATTTTTAACATTAGTTTTTCTCTTACATTACAATACTAATTTCCAGAATCAGTTACTAAAGTGAGTATATGAAATATTGATTGATCTGTTTCATTAAAGATTTAATATCAGTTTAACTAAAGGAAATTTATTCAAAAATTATTTCCCCTTTTTACCATCCAAACCCAAACTCATAAGTCCAACATTCAAATTTTTAATCTCATGTCTGTATTTGGGTAGCTGCCATTTTATAACTACATATGCTAAATTTGAATCATCTACTTGAAATTTCATAGGTAAATCTTTTTGACAGATAGATATAGTATGTAGAAGCAAGGTGATCCCGTAAAGTATTCAAGTAATACTGAATCATTCACAGAACACTAAAAATGTTATTTTTATCAGGCAGACATGAGATTAACTTTCGCTTATGTGAGGAAGGATTTACGTTTATCACCACACTTTACAAGTGATTGCGCCTGGAGGTAGAACTCCTGTACTGTTTAGAAACCCAATAAGTTAGGTTCCACCTTTAACCCTCAAGCACTGACGTGCAATTTAGTAACACTTACACTGACGTACGTATGACATACGTCTATGATTTTAAAAACCTCTTGTGCATCGATAGAGTGTAAATATTGTGATGTGTATTTACATTTTGGTTAAATATATTTAATATAACCTAGGGATGTTTAAAAAACAGTTAAGATAGCAAAATATTTATTAATCAACGGCCTTAGAAGTAATGAAATTAACATAATATTTTTTTTTAAATCAACTAAAAAAATATTTTAAGAATAGGAACGTTTATTATTGGTTTTGTTACTTACTAAGGATGTTTTAGTTATAAAAAAATAGCAATCACATAAATAATGAAAATTAGGCACTTTTTAACAACAGTTGTTGCGGGTCGGCTAAGAGCACTGCAAACATACTGGTTTACCGCATGCTTGACAACCGTATCTTGTTTTGCGACGTTGTAGTTTATAACACATATAACAATTCTTCATGGTTTCAAATTTTATAATTTCATGACTTGGTTGAACCACTTCGGTAGCCATATCTTTGCCCAAGATACGACCAATAAGACTCGAAAGCTCATGTGAAAGTTGCAGCGTCGTGTATCTTCGCTCGAGGTGCGGCTTTACTAAGCTTTTTCCAAGATTTTTCATGAAACTCAGACGATCCGAATTATTATAATTTGCCATTATAAAAGAATTGACAGCAGCAATATCTAAAATTCTGTAGAATATGATCAACGGCCTTCGCCTAGACCTTCTTGCACAGCAGTATTTGGCACATTTTTCATCTAAGGAATCAACACCTCCTTTACAAGAGTTATAAAATGATATTATTTCTGGGATCCCTTTGACCGAATCCATGCTCTCTGTATGGTGCATCGACGACAATATTATAACAGTTTTGTGTTTTTTTGGTACATAGGACAACAACATAATGTCTTTCGTAAAACCGTATAAAACTGAATGAACTGGTCGAGTTTTGGAAAGAAATTCGGGTGGTATTTCCCTTTTGTTTTTTTAAGTGTTAGGGACACTTAAAAAAACAAAAGGGAAATACTCATATACATACATAACATATTCAAACAATTTTTTTTAATTCTCTGCATACTTCAATCGAGGAGAAGTAATTATCTACAGTGATGTTTCGATTAGTTCCCATGATGGGTTTTGCTAAACGTAAAACACATTGTGTAGGTACCAGCAGTTTTTTCTGTTCATCGGTTAGTCCATTTCCGTCAATATTCTTGCCCGCATTGTACAGGTAACCGGTGGTACTATCAGTTAGACATTTTATTTCCAATCCATAATTGCAGGGTATGTTAGGCATGTACTTCTTCCATCTGCACCTGCCTCGAAAAGACACTAACATTTCGTCAATAGTGGTATTCTCTCCAATTTTATAATACTTTTGGGCGTGGAAATTCATAAAATATGCTCGAGATAGGAGCAGCGACATCAGACTGTTTTCTTTCATCTCTGGTAGATGCATCATCAAACCGAAGACTTACGAGTATCATTGCAAAACGATCTTTGGACATTACACCTCCAAAAATATCTCTCCCTGTTCCATCAGTAGCAAACAATGCATTTATGTCTTCATCATTCGATTTGCATGCTGCACTAAAAATCAACAGCCCAATTAAAGCATCGAACTCTACAGAATCTAAGTCCTTCAGTTCAGGTTTACCTTGTCGCTTATATTTTTGCCTTATCAATTCCAGTTTTTGGTTAATATTTTCTATAATTTGTGTTTTAATATTGTCAGTTATTAGCAAACTAAATAATTGTGAAGGCGGACTATCCGGTGAATAATCAATTGTAGTTATTAGAGTAACGATGTTGTGCGCAGGTGTGCGTGTAGTTCTCGATGGACCTTCTGCAGACCACTTCATGCAGCGTTTTTTTCGTAGTAGTACTTTCTGCGAGATTGCGATACATTACCCTCGGCAACTGTATTTACTTGAGAATCGCTTACCTGGACGCCAGTTTGCCTTTTTTCAGAATCAATATGGCGGGAAAAATGTGACAAAGGCATACCATCTTCAGAAGAGTCAGGGTCCGAAGCTCCACCAGCGGCCTCTCCATCATCACAATACTCCTCTTCTGAATAATCATCGCGGTCCGACTGAATGTAATCATTTTCATCCGCCGATGATTCATCTGATTCACAAAGCCAAGATGTGATAATTTCTTCGTTATTAGTAGCATCACCTCCAATACGTAGTATTTTTCTAGACGAAGATATGCCGGAAGTAGAATTACATCGCTTACGATTCTTTTTATCCAAAGACAAACATAAACACATAATTTAAAAAAGTCACACTAACACTGACAATACGTACGACGTACGTCAAGGTATCAAACTTACCTATTTAGACACGTGCCACACGTCTGCACTCCACTGTTACGCGGTCGTTACTGGCGAATAGGAAACTACCAAAACGAACGCGTTCGAAATCCCACGCAATTTAAAATTTACATCGAAAAATTTTTTTAGGCGACGTACCACATACGTACGTCAGTGGTTGAGGGTTAAACCTGTCTCTGCAATCCAATAGCAGTGTGAAAACAATATAGGACGTGTTGTTTTTTCTAGACTTTAATCAGACAAACTTCTAATATTTATATTTCGTGTGAGCTACACCACACCAAGTGTCGGCACTGCTGTGTTTTGGTTGATTTTAAATGTTTAAAGGGCTAGTTTAATAACAGGCAGTGAGGTATTCCATCTAAGTTCTCTGAGGTTATATATCCTCTCAGCAGTCCGGGCCAAAATAGCCGCTTAGGCGCATCTGTCAAACCCTAAACGAGTGATATATTGCCTACGTGGCGCGTGTCATTAAAATGGAAATATCTTAATATTTATGTATGAAAACTATATAATATGATATGTTGTTAGAATTATTATTAAATAAGCTAATAGAATATATGTAAATGTGTACGTTCACCCTTTTGGTATGTTATAAATTCGATGGTAAAATTGCTAGAAGCGATTTTTTTTCCAGTTTGTTGAATATAAAATGTAATCATTAAAAAATTAAGCAATTATTTCAATAAATATTTACTTCATTTACTATACGAAAACACACTTTACAATAATGAATAAAAAAAACACAACTCTACATACAGTTTTTTCACACCACAAGCTCGACAATAATGTGGGCCACTTAAGATGAACCGAAACAGGCACAAAAAAAGGCACATTGTGTACTTCAATATCGACGACGCCTGAGGCACAATGGGCTTTAAATCTTAACTTATTCTATAGTTTGGTCTTTGTTCTTAATATAAACAGTTTCAAATGTTACAACTATTTAGTTATTAAGAAATGAATGAGTTGTAACAAACACTTGAAAAAGTGACCCTAAAAAAATGCTTTCAAACTTTTGCAATTGTAAGGAACAATTTTGTGATTTATTTACATGTGAATGTATATTCCTAAATTTAATAACATTTCCTAAGTTAAAAACAAAACAAAGGAGGCATCTTTCATACAAAATTATGTTAGAAATCAACAACTAAAAGTTACACATTCACTACAAAAAGTACCAAGTATGACGTAGTACGCTGCTATGCTAGTATGGATACGCTCTGTGGTGACTTCTTTAATAATTATAATCATGAATATAAAATTAAAATGAAATACAAATTAGTTATTTTTCATTGCTTTTTTATGTTTTTAATTAACATTCGAATGTTATTATAAAAACCGCGAGTCCTCGGTCGTCTTGTTTCACTTGTCAATCAAGTGCAAAAAAAATATAATGACATGCACATACAAAAAGTAAAACAATTTACTGACAAAAAATAAAACAAAACAAATAAGAAAAACAAATAAAAATCCACACCAAAAATTATCGCAAAAATATACCAACACTGGCATTCCCAAAATCGTATCCATACTATACAACCTGCTCTCTAAGATGGCGGATTTCATGTCAATAACTTTAGGACCCATGTCTGTCCGCGCCCGCCAGGTGGACGCGATATTTAAGCAATTTGTTATTTTTAGTTTTATGAAAGATTTAATCGAAACTATACAATTGTAATTATTGTTATGTTTGTAAATATGTATGTTAACGATACTAAAACAATGTTTACCATTCACAATTGTACTTTTAATTTAAAACAATTGAAATTAATACGAACATGGTATCAACATGGCGGTCGAAATGGCAAGCAATGTTTGATAAAATGGAATAATTTATGTACAAATCGTCATCTAATATGTTTTAAATTAATAAAAAAGTATTTATGACTTACCCATTCATGTTTATCTTTAATATTAACTTCCGAAATCACTTTCAACAATTAATACTTTGCACGTAAACACACGACACCGCGTCACAGAACGAGCAACTGAACGGAATAAATGTATTACTATTTCAATGCTTCTATGGTTCATATATGAAGCGTATGTGATATTAATTGCCGTCTTTGTTTAATTCTCTGCATGTTGTACTAGTTATAGGGAGATACGTATATTTTTACTAGGGCTGTTTCGAATCTGAAGTTTATAAGTAAACAGCAACCTTCTGATGGTTGTGGACAGATGCGTACTTTTTGACAGCAACCTTTAGAAGGTTTTGGACTGACGAGAGGATATAAGAATAACGCACCTGTAGCTTTCTTTGTTTGAAATGACTTGGGCGTATCCATGAGCTGTAGTAGCCACTACAGTCTGATAAACTGTAAGATATAGGTACCTAATGGTGAGTGGATGCTGTGGCCCATAGATTGTTGTCATCCCTGAGAACTAAGATGGAATGCCCCACTTCCAGTAACAAAGGTCTCTAGTTCTCTAAACTCATCATACGAAACACAGTAGTCTTTAGCTGCTATTTTACGCTGGTATTCTGTTAGAGAATGGTCCCCGGTCGAGCCGCCCCATCAGTATTACAACTATCATAGCTGTTTGGTGACTCCACCACGTATAAACTTATGATTTCCATTAAAGTAAATATCATAATATTATATGAAAGTAAATATCATAATTGTATACTATGATAATAGTATACCATAGTATACTACTTCAATTTGTGGGCAACCACACACCCAAAAACTACAAATCTTCATTTAGTACAAAAATCATTTTTTATTAAATAATTTTTATTGTGTAATTTTCATTAATTATTAAACGGTTATCCCTCTTCCGTCGGGTTATGTTAGTACACGATCTCACTTGTATGTTAAATTCAAATTGTATGAATTTTATACGTATTATTTATTAAACAACTTTTATTGTTTAATAAATAATACATATAAAATTATTATATTATATAAAAAAGTCATTTTTGTCATTTTGCAGAAATTATTTTTTATACTTTGCATTTTCTACATACATATAGAGGAAAGCTGTATCCGCTCTTAGCTACTTAGGAAACTCGTTAGCTTGTGTAAGTCACTAAACAGACTACATTTATCAAAGCACTTAGACGTGTCTTAAGTTCTTATATGTTATGTATACGAAATGTTTTAGTTCATGGAATTGATTAAAAAATTCAGAAGAATATTCGCTATTTAATTTAGAATCAAAACTTTTAGTAATTATGGCACTGTAACATTTGTTCTTGTTTCCACATTTAAATAAATTTTTCGTAGCTTTACACTCCTCAGTGTAAGAAGCACAAGAAACCCTTTGTAATAAATTTACTGATACGATTGGAGGGAGATCAGATGCAGGAACAACTGCTTTCAGTACTTTCAATGGGATCTCATTTTACGGGATCCTAACCAGATGGCAGCACCCATCCATATTCTATATTGAAATTAGGATGTTTTTGTCGCTCCGGGAAGTCTGCAGTCTGCGAACATGTTCAAAATCGTCACCACTTTTACATATGATTTGATAAACCGCAAATCTTCGCAAAAGAACATCGATACCTAACAGTGAGGCTATTGAAATTAAAAAACATCTTAATTTCAATCGAGAAGATAGATGGGTGCTGCCATTTGCTGGGGATCCTATATTTAGCAAAATGAAATCCCAACCCAAGTATACCACTGCAATACTTCAAGATACTGTAAGCTCTTTCTGCATAGATCGGAGCAAAATTAATATTTGAAAACTGAAGGAAGCCGGGCTCCTTCAGTTTTTCTTAACTATTACACTGGGACGTCAAACTACTCAGTCCCCCTCCTTATTAAAAATTAGTTAGAAATGAGTTAATTAAACGCGATAAAATCCGTATAAGTGGTTTTATTCAATATCAATCATCTCAAATCAATCAATCACAATGATCAACTATTAGTGGTGTACTACGAGTATTTCTTAATTCATGAGTAAACTGAGTAAACTCATTGAGTGTTATTATTATTCCAATAACACGGTAATGATGGTAATAATATAGACCCTAACTGTGCCTGAACGCTATTCAGGTAAACTATTCAGTCATACAAGCGACGTTTCAAAGATCATATGATAAATTATACATTTAATTGGAATGGAATGGAATTCTATCTTTTAATTAATTCAAAAAAAATCTTATTCTACTAACACACGCATCATGCGAATATCTTGTATGGCTTGAAATAGATTTAGTGCCGTAATTTCTCATCAAATAACGTGTTAAGATAGAAAGAGTGTAGTGTCAGGAAAAGGGACTCCAGAATGCATTTAGCGCAGGAAAGGATTAGATAGTATAGGCTTAAGCACTGGTGCGCTCGTTATTCCATCACTCTCATAATCTGATGAAACGGCAATCCGACAAGACCGCAGAGAGATTTATGGAATGGAATACTGTTATATTTTATTTCTTCATTATCATGCGAACGCAGTGGTTTGTTGCTATTATTTCCTCTAGGGGCTTTGCAAAGGCAAGCGAGGCATTTTAATTTCTTTTTTACGGGCTTTCGACATAGTATTTAAGTATCGTTGAATAGACACAACGGCGCAATCGAGACCATATGTTTTGTTACATAATGCACAGGTGAGATATTCACGACATAAGATTTTTGTCGGCAACCGGCACATTGAGTTACCATCTTTATTCTACTTATGTAAACTTACCAGTTGAATCAATAACCGCCTTCTAGCGCGTAGTAGCAGCACTGCTCCATTAGGTTGCTTTTATCATAAAGCACTCTCTAGCTTGAAGTAGTAGGTACCATTAGTATTACAATGATATGCGTCTGTGTGTGAATACCATCTAGCGTCTAATTGGTTTTTCTTTGGCGGTAATACAAGTAGCATAGGCTTTAGGAGGTTAGAAGTCTGCTGCTAGATGATGCTCGTAATCGCATGCGACTAGAACGCTTTATCTTGTTTATTTAGTCCTATTTAAGTAATCAAATATTTAAGAAGTA